CCACCCGGATATTGCAGCTTTAGTACAAAAGGTCCATAAAAACCTCGCAACGAGCCCTTTGGACAGTGGAACATAACGTCTTCAAAATTAATGAGATCACAACCCAAATACAAAAACCAGGAGAACACCATTGGTGGGATGTCTTCTTAAGATGGGAGAAGCTAAAATCTCCAACAGCTGCTCAACTATTCAACTTCTTAGTGCATCCAGTACTAATACTGATTCTTGTGGCTTTGCTCCTGACCATCATGAATCTCTGGATGGGGTGGAGGATCCGAACCGTCGCCCAGCAAATACATGTCTTGTGGACTGCAAACATGATCTTGCAAAAGAAGTTGCAACAGGATGAGAAAAGGGGGGATTGAAACAAGGAATTGTCAAATTTATATTGTAATTGTAATTAGCATAAGCAGGTCTTGTTTAGTGTGACTTAGCAAATTGGAATATTTTAACGAATATTCAAAATTGCTAGCTGCAAATAGGGAACCACCCCTGTGCGAGAGACAGATAACTAACTGTTGCTTCAAAAACACATAAACAGCCTTGGAGAAATAGATATGTAACTAATTGTTGCTTTTAGGCGCATAGACAGGTGTTATCAAGAAAGCCAGAAAATGTGTCTTAGGCCTAAGTAAAACAGAATGCTATTGTAACGTGTGCTTAACCGTTTAGTTTATCAGCTACTAACCATAGAAATGTAAGAGTGTATGGCATTTATGATAAAACTGCTATATAAACCCACGGAAAATGTGGAAAGGCAGAAGGCACATCTGTGTGGTTAACCCCGTGTCTTCTCCACCAAGGTGTTTAAAGTACTTTGGCGGACAATCTGTTTGTCAGTCAATTCCTTTGAATCACTTCATGGTGAGGGCTATAAGGACCTCGTGCATCCATTCTAAAAACCTCTTTGCCCATGTCCTGTAAGTACTTTTCCAGAAACATGCAGCTGCTCATGCTGAATTTGAGGGATTATCCCTTCTTGAAACATGATGTTTGCCCATGATGTAATTTAAAAAAAGCCAAAGACTTTTTATTTTAAACACTTTATTAATAGGTGTTTGTTATTAAAACTACAGAGGCCTATCAGCCACCACCTCACTCTGCCTATACCATCTTTATCTGGAAGCTAAGGTTGAAACCACAGGTCACTTCCTATTTCTTATATTTTGCTTGGACTTTTTACAAAAAGCTTGGCAGTACGTGGTAGCAAAACCACAGGTCTAGAGCTACTAACAATGAGAAATGGACCAAACTACACTGGTAATTGGTGTCTGAAGCACTGTCACCCTGCCATGCTCACAACACAACTACATGACCCATTGTTGCAAACAGTGATCATCATCATCATCATCATCATCATGCCTAAGCTTCGCGAACGAAGATTTGGGAAGGGCTCTACCCACGTTTGTTACAAGTGCGCTGGTGGCTAAAAAGGCCAACATGAGATAGACATGTCCGGTTGCAAAAGGCTCAGCAGAAGGACTCCCTAGGTGGTATATTCTGCAAGGCACGGTTCTTTCTGCTTTGTCTTTTCTCCTTAAGAGTGATCCTCAAAAGCATCTCAAAAGCTTTCTCAAAAGCATCTGCAGAATTAAAGATAGTGTGTCTCTAGACCTCCTGATTGGAGGCCAGAGTAGACCAGTTATGTTGATCAATATGGCCAAGGCTGAGATGTTGTTTCAGGGAGTCCTTGTATCTTCTCTTCAGGGCTCCTCTCTTGCGACAGCCGGTGGCAAGTTCACCATAAAGCAGGATCTTAAGGAGGCGGTGGTCCTTCATCCTGGAGACGTGTCCTGCCCAGCACAGCTGTGTTCTCAGTAACATGGCCTCAATACTTGTGACTGCTGCTTGTTCAAGAACAGATGTATTGGTCACATAATCTGACCAGTGGATGTTTAGGATTGCACGGAGACAGCGTTGATGGAAGCGTTCTAGGAGACGCAGGTGGTGGCGGTAGATGACCCATGATTCAGATCCGTATAGGAGAGTAGACAGCACAATGGCTCTGTAAACACTGGTCTTTGTACTTTTCTTCAAGTGTTTATTACGCCAAACTCTTTTATGAAGCTTTCCGAAAGCACTATATGCCTTTGCTAACCTGTTGTCTATCTCCCCATCAATCTTACCATCTGAGGAGATGAGGCTACCTGGGTAATTAAACTGCTGGACTGATTTGAGTTCTGATTGGCCAATGGTGACATGGGGATGATGGGGGACTTCCTGAGGTGCAGGTTGATGGAGAACTTCTGTCTTCTTTAAGCTGACTTCCAGCCCAAAGAGCTCAGCAGCATCTGCAAAGCAGGATGTTAAACGCTGCAGAGCTGCTTCCATGTGGGTGACAAGGGCGGCATCATCAGCATAGAGCAGCTCCCGGACAAGATGGTTTAAGGTCTTGGTGTGGGCCTTCAGTCGCCTTAGGTTGAAAAGGCTTCCATCAGTACGGTAACGAATGTAGATACCATCCTGATCATCGAGGTCTGCTGTGGCCCTTTGGGGCATCGTGCTGAAAAATATTGTGAATAGGGTTGGTGCAAGAACACAGCCTTGTTTCACACCATTAGTTATCAGAAAGGGCTCAGAAAGTGCATTGCCATGCACTGACTTGGCCATGCTGATCCTCATGGAGTGAGATGATCATTTTAAGGAACTTGGGGGGACAACCTAAGCGTTCCAAAATCTGCCATAGACCTTTTCTGCTCACAGTATTGAAAGCCTTGGTGAGGTCAACAAAGTTGTTCTGTTCCCCGCACTTCTCTTGCAGTTGTCTGAGAACAAATACCATGTCTGTGGTACTTCTGTTGGCTCTGAAATCAGAGGCAACAGGTAGAATTCCTTCTGCTATAAGCGGGTATTAGTCTGTTCAAAAGTATTCTTGCCAGAATTTTGCCAGCAATGGAGAGCAGAGTAATACCACGGTAATTTGAGCAGTCTGATTTAACTCCTGTCTTCTTATACAAGGTAATAAGTGGGGCCTCTGGTGGTCTAGTGGTTAGGGTGCAGGACTCTCACCGCTGCGACCCGGGTTCAATTCCCAGCCCCCCGGGCAGATGGAGCTCGTCAGCCTTGTAAGGCAATCCATCTAAGAGAAGGTCTGGCTTGCTCGGCCCTGGCAGATGAACCTCAGGATTAAAGGGTGGGCTCAGTTCAGCGCACGCTGTGTCTCACCTAAAAAATCCACTGCGCAGGCTCGAAGGGTTAATGACCTTTCCCAAATCTTCGCTCGCGAAGACTGGCCATTATTATTATCTTATACAAGGTGATGATGACTGCATCATGAAGGTCTGATGGTAGTTTGCCTAGTTCCCAACAGCCCGGGGCCTGCCCAGCGTGCCTGGCCGCCAGGGCCCGGGGCCTGCTCCCTGCCTGGTGTGCCCCTGCAAACAGTGATAAGAAAATAGTAACAGACTGTGTTAGTTTAGTGTGAAGTTGTGTTACCCAAGGCCGTATTTTAATGTTACTAAATCTCTTCATAAACTGAAAGGCCCGAGTAGATAATACAGAAGACACAACATGAAGCCACTTCATGCTCTGACTGGCCTATCACAGTCTGCAAAGGCTGCTAAGTCTCCTCTCATAAAGCTTGAGGGCAGAGGGCCCCCTCCTCTCCTCCCTTCCATGTTGGTGTGTCTCAGAAGCAGAAGCTGTTTAGATGAACTCAGCCTACAGCCCCTCTTCAAGTCCTTGGCAGGGCATGTGGGATGCATCACAGTGCAAACACAGTAGAGATACAAGCAAGATTGTCAATATGTTTTCACGTTCTTTTTTTGCTTGGAGGTCTTTTAAAAAGTAGGTGTTTAAAAGAGGTGCTGAGACTATTTCGACCTTAGCTCCCAGTGCTTCAGACCTGACATGAGTGGGGGGCTCTCTGATGCTCCCCGGTCCCCACCGACATAGCCCTGCAGGGAGAGAAGGAAGGTCGAGTTGCAGGTGGCAGGAGGGGGATGCGGTGGCAGGAGGGGGATGTGGTGGCAGGAGGGGAAGCAGCAGAAGTGGTTCCTGAGGGCAGCCCAGGTGTGGCAGGGCCGCGGTTTCGCTATGCAAAGCCACCGCAGCCACAGCGCCTCACGCCGCTGCCCAGGCGGCATCGAGGAACTGCTGCGGTGTGTGAAAAAAACAGCCATTTATTAATTATTGTGGATTTTTTTCAGCCTGGAGGAGACTGAGGGGAGACTTCACAGAATCCTGCAATCAACTAGGTTGGAAAAGACCTCTGAGATCATCGAGTCCAACCTATGACCGAACACGACCTTGTCAACTAGACCATAGCACTGAGTGCCACATCCAGTCTTTCCTTACGCTCCTCCAGGATGGTGAATCCACTGCCTCCCTGAGCAGCCTGTTCCATTGTCTAGTCACTCTTTCTGGGGAGAAATTATTCCTACAGTCCACTGCAGTCTACAGCTTCCTCATGAAGGGAAGCAGAGGGGCAGACACTGATCTGTCTGGCGACCACTGACAGGACCCAAGGGAAAGGCCTGAAGCCCTGTCGGGAGGGTTAGGAAAGGCCTGAAGCCCTGTCGGGAGGGTTAGGAAAGGCCTGAAGCCCTGTCAGGGGAGGGTTAGTAAAGGCCTGAAGCCCTATCAGGGGAGGGTTAGGTTTGCCATTAGGAAAAGGTTCTTCACCTAGAGGGTGGTTGGACACTGGAGCAGGCTCCCCAGGGAAGTGGTCACAGTGCCAAGCCTGACAGAGTTCAAGAAGCGTTTGGACGATACTCTCAGGCACACGGAGTGACTTTTGCGGTGTCCTGTGCAGGGCTCGATGATCCTGGTGGATCCCTTCCAACTCAGCATATCCTGTGATCTCTGTGATTCTCTCCCAACGGAGGACGTTCTGTGACTCCGCAAAGGTTCCCTTCCCATCACTGTGATCCCGCTCCCTCCCGCCGCCCCCTCGGCGGGGGCGCGAACGGGCGACAAAAGGGACAAAGGGCCGCGCGTCCCCTTTAAAGCCAGCCCCCTCCCCGCCCCGCCTCCCCACGTGAGCGGCCCGGGGCGGGCGTTCCGCGGCGCGTCAGTTCCGCCCGTGTCGCGGTGCAGACCAGCCACGCGCGGAGCAGGACGTGAGTGCCGAGTCCCCACGCGCGCCCCCCGCGGCACCGCCCAGGGCAGCCCTGCCGGGAGGCCGCCCCGTGTTCCTTGAGTGCCCGCGGTGCCCTGCGGGAGGGCCGCCCCGCTGGGGAGCGGCCGCCTCTGCCGAGGGGGAGCTGCCACGTTGGGGGGCGCGGAGGGTCTGAGGGAGGGAGAAGATGGCGCCTCTCCGCGCTCCCCCCCTACCTCCGCGCTCCCCCCCTACCTCCGCGCTCCTCCCCTGCCCCCACGCCGGGACCAGGAGCGGACCCGGCCCGCCGGCGACCCCCGGCCCGCCTCTGCCCGTGCTGCCTTTCTGTCGCCCTGCCGCGGGTGACCCGCGGCCCCCTTGCTACCGCCCTGCCCCGGGAGCACTTGGGTGTCCTCGCCCCATTCCACCCCCATCCTTGTTCGGGTCTTGGGTGTCCTTTCCTCGGGGGGGCGGCACGAGCCGTGGAAAAAGAGGAATAGGGGAGGAAAATGGCGGCTGGGATCCGCCTACCTGGTCTTCCCGGCTCGCCTTCCTTTCCTTACCTTTCCTCGCTCTCGCCTGGCCCGTCTCATCGCCCTCACCCCCCTCCTCGCCTGCCTCGCCGTGTCGCCTCACGCTCGGCCCGTCCGGGGGGCTCCCACCGCCCCGCATCCCTTTTTCCGCCGGTTTCCGCCCACACCTTCCTCCATGTTGTCCCTTCCTCGTCCGCGCGCGGACCCCTGGGGTCATCCCCGCACACCATCGTTTGCCTTTTCAGACTCAGTGTCATCCCTGTGCTTATTTTCACATTGTCCCATTCCAGCGCTCCTCTGCCTCCATCTTACAGCGTGGCTTGTGTGTGCTTCCCCATTCCCTGTATCCTGTGCAGTGCTCCAGCCTCCATCGCAGTGCTCCAAGCTGTTACCACAGGTCTTGCTCTACTTTAGAACCACGTTGATTCATTACCATTATTTGGACTCCGTGGTGGTTTTTTTTGTTGTTGCCTTTTTTTTTTTTTTAATTTGCATATGTGGGTTTTATTTCACTGCCAGTTTAACAACGCTTCAAAATATCCCTTAGTATTATGTTAGCCTTTCCTAGCTGTGGTTCATATCACAGTTTCTCTCTAGGATGCCTGTTTTTATTCTGAAAGAACAAAAGAGCTGTGGATGTGTTACAGAGCAGTAGAAGGGAAGACGTGCAACCGCTACATCTAACCACATGTTTGCATACCAGAGTGATGTATGAGCACACCTGGCAGCATGCATTCAAGGAAAGCTGAATGTCCGCTTGTCTGGCAAATGAATAGACTCTAGTGACTGATGTGTTGAAGCTGCAGTGGAAATATTAATTGCAGTGCTGTGGTTCACTGTAACTGAGGCGTTTTTCATACTGTTGTGTCGGTGGGATCTTCATCTTTATGTGTGACGATTATGCAGCACATTGCTTGTGAGTCCAACTGGGTGAAATGCCCACGTCAGAGTACAGGCAATGAAAGGACCTTAATGAACTATATATGTGAATGTCATATAAAGGATTTAACTGGAGGACGGCATTATATTTTATTTTTTACATCGTGGTTTTTGCCGTGTCTGGGGATGTATGACACTTGTGAAAAATTGTTCTGCTGTAAACATTTCAGAGGCCAAACCATTTACTGCATTTAGTACAGTTGCAGTAAAAAGGAGAAGAGATACAAGAGGGAAGAGTGTTTGAGATTGCATCTGCAATGTGTATTAAAGCTTACATGAAACAGCAGGAAAGTCTTTAGGAGAGTTTTGAATAAGATGAGCCAGTACAGATTTGAAGATGGCTTTCCAGCCATAATGGGATGTATTCTTTATGCAGTGTTCTCATGTTATTTTTCTCTTCCCAGAATGCCTAAATCAAAGGAACTTGTATCTTCAAGCTCATCTGCCAGTGATTCAGATAGTGAAGTTGACAAAAAGGTGAACATTATATACAGTTTATTACTGTATTAACTCTTTTATTTCAGGACGAGGTTAAGGAATTAGGTGAGCATTATGTCACAACATGCCTGTTATTCCCTGTGATTTATGAGACACTTAAAAAAGCTCTCTCTCTCCCCGCCCCCAAAAAAACCAACCCCTTTCCCAAGTTTGGGTGGATTACATGTTTTTTGACTTGCGGAAAAGGTTTTTTTAAGTTGCATTTTGCTTTGTTCATGCCATTCCATATGATAGATATAATCACAAGGTTCCTGTAATTCTTTACTGCTTTGTGGCAACTGATAGAAGGCTTTTGTATAAGCTGCCCTGATGGCAAGAATTTAGACTTATTTTGAGAACATGCCCACACCCACCACTGCCAATTTGATATCTGGATTACTTCTCTGTAATAAAAATCTTATCTTACCCTGTGCTTCATCGTGTCATTTGCTTATCTTGTTTGCGTGTTTTTTTTTCTCTGCTTAATTTTCTTTTATTTGCTGTAATACCATCTGTTAGTTTCTCACTTAAAAGCCGAGCCAACCTGAGTGTATTTGAATTGATAAATTTTAACATGACTGTTCTGAATGTATAAATTGAGTGTTCCTGTTTATTTTTAATAGTTATTTAATTTAGAATCTTGTATAGATGTATCAATGATTACGAGCAAAACCAGAAAAAACTAGTGAATTCGTCGTTTTGAGAAATGCTATTTGGTAATGCAGACATCAGGTATTTTAGTGTAGTAGTTTGAAAGGCTTGGTCTGATTTACTGAATTGCTTCAGTCGTGATTGCACCTTGGAAATCAGGTGTTCTGTCAGACCTTAAGAAAAAAAGTTGATGGGGTGATTTTTTTGTTAGGGAACTGTATTCCTGAAAAGACAGTCTGACAGCCTGCTTTAGTGGGTAGTAGGGTTGGGTTTTTTTTCAGGGAGATTATCCACAACGTGATCTGAGCAGGTGAGACTAATTTTTGGTATGTTGGTATTCCTTTTTTTTTTTTATGTGGGGAGCATGGTTACTATATAACTGTGAGTAGAAACAGTAACTTTGTGAGTTATCTGAACAACCTGATTTACAGGTCATATTGTCTGAATGTTTTAAAAAGATGTTTAATTCATCATGCTGAGGGCAGAGATTGGATGCTGATTAAAAAAAAAAAGTTGTGTGATGGAGGTGGTTTCCAGATCCTTTAATCATTATCTTCTGTAGGTTTTATTTCTTTTTTTGAAGAGGAGTCATAAACTGTTCTGCATTTTTTTTGTTGCACTCAGTAGAAGGGAAAGTGTCATTTCTCTCAGACTTAATTTTTTAATTAAAACTACCGAGCTGACAGTGTTACTGTGCAAAAAGAGAAGGGTTTTTGAAATGTATTTTGATCTCATTGAATTCTCTTTAAAGCCAAAGTATTATGGTAAACTTCACTGGGAACAGAATTAGGCTCATTTGAAGGGTTTTATTTCTTTGATTCCAGTCTAAATGTACAGTATTGGAGTCCTGCCTTCACAGCAGGAAGGTGGTAAGTGGTGCATTACTTAGTAATAGTTTGTGACATAAAATGTAAACTTTTCTGTAGCATATAGAGTGAGTTGTGGCTCATGCTTTTTTTTTTCCTTGCTCCAAGGCAAAGCGGAAAAAGCAAGCAGCTCCAGAAAAACCTGTAAAGAAACAAAAGACTGGTGAAAGTTCAAAAGGTGCAGCTTCTTCTAAGCAAAGCAGTAACAGAGATGAGAATATGTTTCAGGTAAAATTGATGACTCATAAAGCCTGGTAAAGGTAACATGTTACATCATATTCAGTATAAATTTTATGAGGTGATCTGAGTTTCTTGGCAGCACAGTCTTGGTCTCCTGAATCCTTGGCTGGAAGGGATTACGGTGCTCGCATGCAGATGAGATGCTCAGAAGAGCGTGGTCAGGTTTCAGCTGAGTAAAAGAATCTGAGTTGCAGCAATTGATCTAATCCTCTTGACTTCGCCTGTGCTAGCTCTGGGTACTCATTTTGTCGGTAAATACAGCACTTACCAAGAGTATACTGTAAATATTAGATTAGGTTTGTCTCTACATGGAAATGTTTTTTAATCAGGGCTCTTGGAAAAAAAGCTTCTTGGAAACCAAAGCGTGGACTCTTCATTCCTGTTTAACTAGGTCAAGGACAACTTGGCTCCTGTATGATAAGACAGCATCTTGGAATAAGTTTTGCTTCTTACTGCATTTTATGATGGAGGATTTTATCGCTGAACATCCATAATAATAGTAATTTTTGACATCGTCCCTGTTTTTAAGATGGAATGAATGTACATTTTTCAGTAGAAAGGTGCATTTGTGAATTTAGGGTATTGCAGTTTCCAGGGTTGGCTGAGGCAGTAACAGCGTGTGCTGAGACCTGTGCAAGAATATACATAGCTCAGAATTACGTGTTTTACAGGCATGGATCAAGACCTATTAAAGGTCTCTGATTAGCTGGCTGAAAAGGAATATAAATTTGTGAGACTTTGATTCTCAGCTTCGTGAAAGGGTATGGGAAATGTGTCTAGTGAGGTGGCCCAAACAGAGAGTAAGCTAAATTAAATGATTCTGGGCTGTGTAAAGTAATATGGGGAAAGAAAAAGTTTTCTAGCGAGACCTTCCCTGTGATACAAGGCAGTTATTTTTAGTGTCTTAATTCTCACTTTCCTCTACTCATGTTGAGGAGAGGAACTTTAGGGCAATGCCTGGACTTCCCTATTGAAGGGAGTGTATAATATTTTTAGTTCTGCTTGGGCATGCTTTGAACTCTGTAGGAAAAATGAGATAGTGAATTCTATACCTTATGAGGTGAGCTGCAGTTAGAACTCTAAAGAACTATGTATAAACTTTGTGTTATGTTTGTAACAAGTTCAGAAATTCCAGCCTTGAAGAAAACTGTTAAAACTTTTAGTGTTCCCCTGATGCAAAAACATCCAAGCACTTTCAAATAAAATGAAAGTATTTGTGTGCTCTGGTTTCTTGAAACCTTTTTGACCTAAGATATTAAAAAGTTACTAAAAACAGACAGTAGAGGACTCTTATTAGTCTGAAAAGAACAAGGTTCTTCTGGTGTTGAGTGTAATACAGATATTTGAATATCACCTTGATCTAAAACACCAGTGTTGCTCAGTCTGCCTGCATTTCAGGTAATCAACAACAAAAAAATTTTTGGATTGCTCCTTGTATTATGTGAAGCTTTGTCAGTTTTTTCAAGCTACATCAACTTCTGCCCAGTTCCTAAGAGGTAAATGTTGCAGTGGATAAATAGAGCTATAGTAGGTCTGAGAATACTGCCCCTCCCTCCCCCCTACTTAGAAGAGCATGCTATAAGATGCTGTTACATGGTAATTTTTTAGATACAGTTTTGTTAGTTCTAGGACTTTTAGTATTATTAGAAACTCTTATTTCTGAAGGATTTCTCTCCCATGGCAGTAAAATGATCTCTGATGTGGAAGTGACTTTGCAGTAAAACTTACAAGTGTAGCTTCAGTTGGTGGAAATGAGGCTGTAAAGCATTCCTAGGATAGTCACAAGTTCTATGGTGTCCATATTGTGTGAGGGAATGGCTTCAAATGATGTGATACTTAGAGGATTGTTATTCTGCATCCTCAAGCCGGGCTTTTAAGGCATATAGCTTTCCTTAATTTAGAGCTCGTTGTGACTGCTGTATTCTGAAGACTCAGCATTTTCATAAGTTTTTACATTTTATATTTTTGTTTGAGATTGTTGCTGTAATGATTTTTTTGTTTTTACAACTACTTATGAAGAATAGTATGAATGTAAGTAGAGGAGAATTAATTCAATATAAGAGACCAAGTGTATTTTATGTATTTACAGGTCTTTGCCTTTTTAGGTTTTATAGATAGCCTGGTATACTTTGCAGTTTGTTGAAGGATTCGTGTGCAGTTAGCATGCAGAAATTTATCTTGCTCCCTCCCCTGTGTGATGTATTACTAGAGGCCCTAAGGACTAGAGTTATTCATGTCAGTGTGGAAGGGTTTAGTGTTGATACATTAGATTCCTGTCTGTGGCTTCAAGCCAACCTGAGCTCTGCACCATGTGCTTTGGTTAGTTTGACTAATCCTATCATCTACCTTTGCCTGATTTGGATAAGGTTTGTCAGGATGCATTAATGACTACCCAGAGTGGAACCACATTGCATGATCATGCATTTAACTGACATGGTTACTTAGAAGTTGTCTGTGTGTTGTCCTGTCCACTCTCCACCTTTTTTTTTTTTTTTTTTTTTTTTTTTTTTTTTTTTTTTTTTTTTTTTTTTTGAGTTTTGGTCATATATGCTTTTTGACTTGAAATAGATAAGTTCTTTGATTTCCCAGTGTAAAGTTCTTTGATTTCCCAGTGTAATGACTTTATCATAGGCTCCTGAAAGAAGGTAAATATATAAGTGTATGATGCTCTGAAACTGATTGGTTTAGCACATTAATTGTGAAACTTAGAGGGTCACCGATGCATTTCACGAACAACTTGCTGTGTGACAGATCTCACTGTTTACAGAAGTCTTCATTGTGCTCCTTGTAGTGCTGTCCATATACGAAAGGAGCTTTTTTTACTGTTTCTACTTCCACAGTGTGTGTACCATTTAATCCAGAAAATCTGGAAATAGGAAAAATAATGAAGAAGGTGCTTGCTGAAGGTCATAGAGGAAGTCAGTTGCATAGCTGTGAAGGGAACTGAGACACAATTTCAGTACTTTTTATTCTGAGAAACAAACTTGGAAACGGTGGTTTTAATTCGTGTAATTCAGTAGAGCAGTATAATCTTAAGATCTGTAGTATTTAATGAAAAGTATACAAACTTGTCTGTGAAGGTTGAACTGCAGTAACTGGACTGCTGTAAGTCAATATGACTGTTGTGGTTTAACCCCAGCCAGCAGCTGCTCACTCACTCCACCACCAGCAGGACTGGGGAGAGAACTGGAAGTGAGAAAACTTGTGGGTTGAAATAAAGCATTTAATAGGGAAAGCAAAAGTGCTGCACTCAAACAGAGCAAAACAGGGAATTAATTCACTACTTCCCATGGGCAGGCAGGTTTTCAGCCATCTCCAGGAGAACAGGGCTCCATCACGTGTAACAGTTACTTGGGAAGACCCCAAGCATGTACCTCCCTTCTTCCCCCTGCTTTATATACTGAGCATGATGCCATATGGTATGGAATATCCCTGTGTCAGTTGGGGTCACCTGTCCTGGCTGTGTCTCCTCCCATGCACTCGCAGCCACCTTGCAGGCATGGCAGTAGGAAAAGCAGAAAAGGCCTTGACCCTGTGTAAGCCCTGCTCAGAACAAGAACATCTCTGTATTGTCATCACTGTGTTCAGCACAAATCCAATCCACAGCCCAATACCAGCCACTGTGAAAAAATTAACTCTACCCCAGCCAAAACTGGCACAGCCGCCCTTGAAACATGGCCGTGGTTATGGAGATCTAAATATACGTTTGTCAGTGAAATTACTCCAGGACTATCGGCTCCTGCGTAACAAAAGAATTGTTCAGAAATGAACCTGTACCAGAATTGCAGGTAGCTAAGTATCGAGAAACATCAGTTTACTTATATCTAGATTTTGGTTGTGGTTTTAAACCTTAGATGTTTGTTGGAGCTGTACTTCAGAAGCGTATTTAAAAGTTTTGGTGATGGCAGCTTTTGCATAGAACACTTGCATAAATTGTTCAAAATTTATTGTGATCATTCATCTGAAATCTAGACAGTGATGTGAAATCTAACTTAATTTCAGCATTTTCATATAGAACTGCTTCCATCTAAGGTAGACTGACTGATTGAGTAAATGTGAACTTTGCATTATTGCCACTCACCTTACTGTAGTTGAATTGAGACATACAGTCTTTGCAAATCACATTCTAAACACTTTAACTGTATTTGCAGCTTTAAGCTGCTCTATTACATTAGATTTTATTATTTAGGACAAACCTGGAAGTACTTGGCAATACACTAAGATTCTTCCACAGCCATGGAAAAAGAGGTGCTGCTGAGTGCTACTACTTGAAGCTGTTCTTAGAGGTGACCTTAAAAGTTAGCGAAGCGTTAAAGGGTGAAACCAAGAAATGTTGTTTGTGTAGGCTGTTTAGGATGTTCTTTGCCAGCAGTGCTGAGGGGCTTGGGCATGGTGCCAAGTTTGGTCTGAAAGAGCTAGCATGCCATGACATTATACTTTATTTTTGAATGTTAAATTTGTAGTGCTGTGAAAGTGTTTAATTGGTCAAAAAATACTGTCTTATAAACTGTAATGTCTTGTTCATTTTAACGAGCTAGATGCTTTGAAGTAGGAAAAGTGCTTCAGACTTACATTATCTAGGTATGTCATAATTGTTTTATTATCAATTTTAGAAGTCATGTGGCATGATCTGCGTAAGAAGAAAAATTTCTTTAGGCAAACATAAAAGTGTTCATGTTTGTATTAATTTTGTGAAGTAAGAGCATATGACAAACATCTGTGAATCAGTGTACTTGATAGGAGAGCTTTTCAATCTGTCTGGTCAGACTTAATGCTAGAGTGTTTGGATCCCCCTTAGGTTGTATCAAAATGCAAGATGCATAGATAAAGGAAGTTGAAATATTTTATCAGGAAGGAGTATTTTATTTTAAAATTGTTTACTTTAGAATGTGTTCTTTCTTCATAAAATGTATCCAGAAGCTGCATGCAAAATTCTAAGGATTTCTTGCAGGAATTTTGAGAAATTTTATTTGATTGTGATTTTGTTATCTAATTTCTGGTTCTCCAGTTCACCATGTACTTTGAATTTATGTGAATAAATAGTTTTTTATCATATTTGGGAAGATCTTTAATAAGCCTAAATGTGTGGTGTATTGTGTAGTTGTTGGTTTGATTCTTCCTCCCACTCACTCTTCCCCTCACTTGAAAAAAAAAAAAAAAAGGTGCCCATGTAATTCAGTTAAGACATTGGTGCAGAAATTGTGGAACTCAGGAGTCATTTCATGGTATGCTACGTGCCAGTAAACTTAAAAGATTTGAATGGTTTTTTGGAACACCTGGTACAGTGAGGTACCCGTGAGGGTTTGAGAGTGGGCATGGGACAGTAGGTGGCTAACTTTAATTTCCATCTGTATTTACTGTGTTAAAAAAGAAAAAAAAGCCCCACAATTACCAGAGAGTTGTTTTTGGGAGGCATTGCACGTGAATATCTAATTTGCTTTCTGTACATGTGAAATGGACTAAAATTTACACTTGGGAGTAGAGGTCCCTTTTTCCTTGTCTTCTTTTACAGCTGCTGGAAACAAAGGCAAAATTTTATTTCAGAAAACAGTAAATCCATGACTTTTATAAGAAGCAGGCATGTAAAGAATACAGACTTTTTTTATTCTGGGAGGGCTACTTCTGCATTGAACATTGCCTGCTCAACTAGTTTTAAGTCGTTGCTTATTAGCCTACTGACTACTCTGAGTTAAGCTTTTAATCTAGTTGTTTCTCTGGTGTCTAAAATAAGCCGCAGTGTGCAGTGTCACATGTCAGAGTCTAATGCTGCTGGGGAAAGTGAATGCTGTAATATGTAAAATACCTAAAAGACCTTTATGTGTGTTTTGACAGATTGGCAAAATGAGGTATGTCAGTGTTCGGGACTTTAAAGGAAAAGTCTTAATTGATATTAGAGAATACTGGATGGATCAAGAAGGTGAAATGAAGCCTGGCAGAAAAGGTATTGTTCTGCTTGATGTTACTTCTTATTAAAACATTGGGTTTGCAGTAGAACTTTGTGTATCATATTTTTATCCTTTGATGCTACGTGATATTTTTAGAGTAATATTTTTACTTTCCTATAATTTGTATTTTAACAGAGAATTAGTTTAATCTGTAGATTATAAATAAGAGCAAAGTGGGTTTGTTGGCCTGAGTCCATTTTCCTAAATAGATCCTCCATGTCTTATGGCAAGGCATCAAAACTAGCAAATTTGGTAGAGAACTTATAAACATGACCATAACATAGTCATACTTTTTCCCCCCAATTGATTAACTTAGTTAACACAATTTATTTTATTACAATTGGATTTCTTATTTTGAAATTCACTGAAAAGATTTAATCATTTTTATAAGATGTTAATTTTGTTAAAACAACAAGGTCCTTCAGTTTCTATTAAATTTTTGATTAAAAAAATCAGAACATTTAATGTGTCTAATATTGGAGGAAAAAAGTGAAGATTTTAGTAAAGGGAGAAGTATCTCAAGTGATCAAGCTTTGATATCAAGTTTCTAATCTGCAATACAGCACAAACCCTTATACCTTTAATTGCTGCTTGGATAGTTGCTTGTCATGGCAGGCCTTCACTGTGAACCACTTTCAGAACTTTTCCATTTCAAGATGAGGATGTGAGGACAATTGCAGGAGTAGTGCTGTGCTTAAGGTTATGTTACTTCTCTTAGAAAAGTCTACTTTTTATCAGTTTTCGTACGGCATCAATGAAAGAGGTAAGTATGAAACGTTCTGCCCTGGGGATTCATAGAGTCATTGAATGGTTTGAGTTGGAAGGGGCTTTACAGATCTCGTTCCAACCCTGTGCCATGGACAAGGACACTTTCCACTAGACCAGGCTGCTCAGAGCCCCATCCAATCTGGCCTTGAACGCTTCCAGGCATGGGGCATCCACAGATTCTCTGGGCAACCTGTGCCAGGGCCTCACCACTCTCACAGGCAAGAATTTATTCTAAATATACTCTAAATATACTCTCTTCCATTTTGAAGCCACTCTCCCTTGCCCCATCACTTCTTACCATTGCAAAGACTCCCTTCCTGGCCTTCCTGTACTGGGAGGCTGCAAAGTTTGAAGACATACAATCAGCATATAGTTTGTTACATTCTTATGGTGTGTTCAGGAGCAACTCAGTGGACAGTAATTTGAAAAGTTTGAGAAGCATTTTCAACATTTCTTGAATAACCACTGAGAATAGGTTTGCATGAACAGGTGTACTGGTGTTGTACAGGAACATTCTTTGTTTTGGATTTGTTAATAAAAAAGATTAATTTCTAAGGACCTTACCCTACTGTGTTTTGAGGTGAAATTCAATAGTATATGCACTTTGAGTGGCAAACTACAATGATATCTGGTGGGTAGGCCTAGTGACAAAAGTTATATGATGTAGGTAGAAATGTTTATCAATGCAGCAAAAGGGTCTGAATTTTACTAGGATAAAATTTATTAGTAGTCTGATACAGTATGTGAGCCAAATATTCCATTAATGCACTCGTAAGCCACCATTTAGCTATGCTAAAACCAGTCTAAGTAGTTGAAATATTATAATAAGACAGAAAAATAAATCCAGCATTTTAAATTAGTCAGAGTGTCTCGAACAGCAGATCTGAACTTTGTGCAGTTTGTCTGGTGTGTAGTTGAGGGACATTTTGATGATGCTTGGTCCCCTAATAATGGTTAGCACACCTGACCTGTGTTCAAAAAAGAAATCTTCACACTACAGGCTGGTGGAAAATTGCTTAGAGAAGCTCCATGCACAGTACTTGCTGTTTTAAATTATGATGGTGCCCTCATAAGCACTGATGGGGTAAAAAGGAAAAAAAAAAGACCGTGAGCTCAAAAAGTGAAATTCACTTTTTTTGGCTGTTTTGAGGCCCTGCTCCACCTACAGGGAGAAAGTAATGAAGGACACCTGACCACTCAAGGAGGAGAGTGAGGGTAAATAGTAGAAGAGCTTGGCGGGAGAAAGTATGAGAGGTAGCCCTGTGAGCCTGCACTCTTCACAGAGTTGGCATAGAGATTGTAGGGGAAGAATGAGGAGACTGAAGCACAAATGAAACATGCGCCTGGACTCAAGCTTGAGGAAGATGAGGACAGATATAGATCTGAGGAGATGGTTTGTGGGGTACTTATTGAATGATTAATGTTTGAATGTTACTGGAAACTATAGTGAACTTGAAGAAGAAATAACTTATGTTGGTTTGTGTTAGCGAGTGTAATAGAGTCTCTCCAAAAGGTTACTTATAGTATATGTTATTTACAGTGCTTTGAGAAACAAAATGGGGGGGGAACCCAGAATTATAGTACCTGAAAAGTGCATAGAAAATCAGTCCACATAGGTATGGCTTTTAGGAGCCAGCAGGAATGTGAATGATTTCCTACTTCTCACCCAGGGCTTTTGTACTGCCTTCTGTTAAGACCAGAGTTGTATTTCCCTTCTTGTGTTTAGCCTAATACTTGCAAAATTTTTTGTTACATGCATTCTCTTTGCAATGTAAACTTGTCTAGAGGTAACCTAAAGTTAAACTGAAGTGTTCAAAGTGAGCAGTTTCACTTTGTAACTATGGTGGTTGTTGAAATAGCTCAGGCATTAATAGTTATGACATAGACTTTGTGTATGAAACTAGCCTTTATAGTAATTACACAAGAATACTGCACCACAATTTTCTTTTTGTCCTAAGTGTTTATTTTTAATGCATTTCAGGTATTTCTTTAAATCCAGAACAGTGGAATCAGCTGAAGGAACAGATTTCTGATATTGATGATGCAGTAAGAAAACTCTAAAGACAGAGCCATACAAAAACTTATATCATGTAGTTGTATTAAGCAGTCTTTTTACATTGGCTTTAGTTTTCTAAAATATTGTTTTCCAAGCTATTGTATATTTGGATTGCAAAACAATTTGTAAGATGAATACTTTTTTTATGTGCATTAAAAGTGTATTCTGAGTGAGGCTATTTGTGTATACTTTACTAAAAGGAATTGTGTTGCTTTCACCCCATGGTGTAAAATAAACAAATCAAGTAATATGTAAAGCATACTTGTTTATGGCCTTTTGATTGAAGGTGTTTGCTGATAAGGCCACCTAATAGCTTTAGTCATTGGTTTAGTTGCAGTTTTGTTCATAGTTAATACAAATTTATTTTCCGAGATTTCTTAAAATGTCTCAATTTAATTTTTTCTTTTATTACATTCTTTATGCTATTGCCCTACAGCTTTCTGCTTTAAGACTTGATACAAACAGTGAATACTGGGGAAAACACATTTTTGTAGATAGTTTTCAATACTGTATTTGCTAATTTACCCTATTTATTCAGATGTAAACAGTCTTGAGTATATAGCTTTTTTTGCATTACTTGCATGAAGTATTAAGCTAAACAATAACACTTGAACACAAAACACATGCTAATTTTCTCATTTTTCTGTAGTTTTCTTGACCTAGAAAATACAAATAGCTTTTTTTCTTGAATTCTAGATGTGATGCATAAACTTTTACAGTAATAGACATATACCTCAGAGTAAGACAGTATTTAAAAGATCCACATGTGGTTATTAGTTAGTACATTTTTCAAGGTTTGCATTAATTTCATTCTGGAACACATACTAACCAGTTATTCTATAGAAAAGGAACAGTTGACCTGTCTTTGTAGGGCTTTCGTTCAATTGAGAGTATTGCGTAAACAATGATGCTTAAATTAGACTGTCAAACAGGTTAAGCAGTCAAACAGGGTTAAAACTGCTGCAGCCAAAATGTCTGCCTGTCATGTTCCTGCCCCATCCACGCTGCCTGCCTTGATAGTGCTCTGGTAAGAAAAGCCTCTGCCCTGTAGAAGCTCTGCTAGACCAGAAGCTGCCCCAGTGGAAGGGCTTCTTGGTGGCACTGAGTCACAAGTACGATACAGAACTTGGAGAGATAAGGGGCACACGAGGATGGAAGTCACTGGTGAAAGACCAAAGTTAGCTGGCACATAATAGCTACAGGGAATAAATGGAAGCAAAATTGGAGAAGAATTGATTTTCTCACTTAATTCAGTTAATTGAAGCAAGAAGATAAAACAACGTCATGAAAATGGACACTTCAAGATGTAGTATGTAGTGAATGTCCAACCTAATTAGTTTGGCTGTAATTTTCCTATTTGTTGATAAAGTAATTGTAGTTTCTAAACTTTGTATAGATAAACATTTTTTAATTATGGAACATCAGTACAGTTGTTATTGCAGACATGATTGTAAGTGCCATACACAGGCTGTTCCTGTGCTGCAGAGTTCATTATTCAATGCAAATAGGTATTAAATGGCTGAGTTGACAAGTATATATTACAAATATTAGATATTTGTACAAATATGACATATAACAAATAAGATCTGGATTTTTTATAGCTCAGGAAATCTTAAATTTTTAAGAATTGCTGGAGGATGAATAAAAGGTTGAAGAGATGTTTGTGGTAGCAGATGTGTTTTTGGGCACAACATTCTTTTCTGAGTGACTGCTAACATCATGTAGGGCTATTTGGACCAAATAGAATGAATACAAAATAGCTGCTAAAATATCACAAGTGAGCGAATGAAATGTTTCATATCACTGTAGACAAGTTCTAGATATTTGTTATTGCAGTATGTATATATGATTTTGTTCCTTTAAATCTGAAATTTTGCAACCAGATTTCATCCACTTAAAAACTCTCATGTAGCTTCTTTAAAGTGCATGATTACATTAGAGGGAATACTGTCCTCACTTAGATTACTGTGGTAATAGTCATTGGGTGACAGTTGTGTATCAGAGTACAATATAATTGTGTTCAGGAAGGTGGGAAATTAAAATCATTCATTTGGGGAGAGTGAAGTGAAAAAGTTTATTACAGTGGTTAGTTCTCTTGTGGAAATTGGTGGTAGAAGTGTTCAAAGAAATTTGTATTTGTTAAGCACGAACTATTAGTTATTAGTAGGTATCTAAATAAACCAGACAGTTTCACAAATGAACTCAAAAGGGGATGAATTGATCAGGTGACTGATGTGCTTGTAAGACAATAATATACAAGTAACCTTGATAAAAATTTGGCACATTCAGTGTTATTTTGAAATAAACAGTAGTGATTTGTCATGTAATCATCCATGGCTGTAGTCTTCCTAATTTGAGAAGAAAATTCTGATTTTTTTTTTTTTAATAAAGATTATTTTCTTGCAGAAAAAATATTAGTTAGGATACATTTAGAAGTGTTCATGGAACAAAATTGTGCATGTATGACAAGGCTGTGTAATATGGGGTAAGAGCACTGCTCCCTTTCCCACTGAAGTGACAAAAGAAAGATGCATTTTGTTCTTCGTGTTTATGCAGGGCATATTAGCAATATGTTTTATAAAATAAACCTACTGTGGAGCTTAGGGGGAAAAACGTCACAGTTAGAGCTGCCAAAGTACTGTATGTGTGATAATCAAACTGTCATGTACCATGTTGCTCGTATGTGGAGATGTTAATATTGAAAATAAACAAGTGCAGTACTAATTTTGATATTTCTGTTAAAGGAAATGCCCCAGTTACGTACTTATGTGATCTGTTAGCAGAAAAAAAAATATGGTGATTGTAATTTTGGTAACTCAAATGTCATATTGTTAGCCATGTGGAATGTTTCATGTTTTGCTCTGGTAGTATCTTCTGCAGAGAGGCCACTGGAAATATGAGCCCTGCAACTGTAATTACCTTAATGTTCAAATAAAAAATAGTTGAATGGCGTATGTGTAGTAACAATTTGAACACTTGGAAATAAATGAAGACTTCTGTTGACGTAGCGTTATTTTTATAGAAAATTAGCTGCACTAAGAAATTCAGCTGCACTGACAAGTTATGGAACCTGCTATTTGTTTATTACAACTGCTGTAATTTGGAAAGTTGAAAACTTAATCATCTTCTACTTGGTCCATGTCTGTGGATGGGGGATTGATTTGTGTAGCCCACGGGGATAGATATTTTTCACCAAGATAGAAGAACAAGTGTCATGTAAATATGGAAGCAACAGATATAAACACACGTTCAAACATCAAACAGAAGAGTGCCTGATAAGTTGTGGCTGTTAAGAGAATGGCTGATTGTCTTTTTTAAGTGGAGTTTCTCTTTGATCTGACTTTAAAGGTAACCACAGATCAGGTAGGAAAATTATCATTGGTCAGTTATGTCAGCATAGGCTTTTTTAGGAAGGACATTTGTTTTTTACATTCTTGTGACTGACCTGTAGGGAGTGGGTTAACTGATTGTAGCATTGAACCTTAGAGACTTTTCTCCAAGTGATTTTGAGTAGTTTAGTAATTTATAGCCACAGAAAGAGAAATTACTGTGGCTTGAAGGGAAGAAATGGAGTTAGGGGTTCGTGCAGGGTCCTTGTGTCCTACCTAGTCCTCATTTACTTTCACCCTCTAACTGATAGGGTTCCTCTTTGACTGTGGCCCTGGTGTCTGTGTATGGAAGAGCATTCCAACAGGCAGTGCTTTTCCTGAATCAGGCCTGTGTGTCTTCTGCTCACATAGCATAGTTACATACTTATATACTTACATAGAAGTATGAAGACCTGTGCTGAGGAACTGCAGTAAATAGTCCTTAGTGATGGTTTGTCAGGGAAGCTTACATTGTGCTATTGTGTGAGCAGAGGGACGTGCCACAGGTCATGGGCATACTTAAAGGCTGAGAACCTAACAGCTGTTCCCTTGGTATTGTATTTTATTTAACAAAAATATTACAATTTTTTGTAAGATCTGCTTAATTCTATTTTCATTTTGTTTTCAGTGATTCCATGTACTCATCACTGATCAGATGTCAGATGGGGTAGAGACTGAGGTTGGGTTGAGGACTCAAGGTTTTGTTATCCTTTGGAAGGAGGTGGGCTCATAATCTTAGGGTGAATAGAGCTTGCCGTAGAACTGCAAAAGCTGGTGCAATTAACATACTATTCTAGGAAATCTGTGGGTGTATTTGATAAGGCTAAATAAGAAAAACATTTTATGCCTTCTTGGCCAGCATGCCTAGTAGGCAGCTGTTAGTTATCACTTCACTTGGGCAGCACTTGATGAGATGAAAGCTGCTGAAGTAAAGAAATGGTAAGATTTTACATAACCCTGTTACTTTTGTTTTTTTAAAAAAGAACTGTTTCACACCTTAGGATTTTAAATTCCTTATGCTTTCAATGATAGGCTAATGTGCCAGAATAATTTATGGGCTGTTAAAAACAAAGTTCATTTCGTCTTAGTGAATAGACCTAAGTTGTTCCATTCATTAAAACGTCACACAATATATCTGAGGGAGAGGTGAATGACATTGCTATATGAAAAGCAAACTTGAGATTGACTTGAACCTAACAATAAACTACTTGAAATTAAAAGTATTAGACAGTATGTAGCAATAAAACTTGGCAGTGTATTTGTGGTGTTGATTTTATGTAACCTTTGAAGGTTTTTGCTAGCTGTCTCAATGTGAAATGGCTCTGCTGTTTCCTCTGCTTTAACATTTGCCATCCCTTACTGAGATCTGCACTCCCTCTTATTTCCTCTGATTTTATATTCTCACTGGAAGCATCCATCTGTCTCTTGGAACACAAGCATCTCTGGCTAAACTTGCGCAACCACAAGACAAGAAATATCTCAAAGATTGGTTCCTTGTGGTAGTTGGCAGATAGAGCTGCTATTGCTAATACAGGCCAATTAATGGTCATATGTGTATGTGTGTATATTTTAGCATTGTGATAAAGTGCACTTAAAATGGATTACTCTTGCCAACATGCATACTTCCCAAAGGAAGTAATTCTGTTCATACTAGCTTGGATTATTGTCTACAGTGAAAGTAGTGAACAAATGCTTTTCCCCCTGAAGTGATTATTAACAACTTGGAGAACACCCCAGTGGGACAGTTCCTGGGGTGAACGTAAACAGAGCTGTCATGTGGATGGATATCAGCTTGCCATAAGCGAAGGTGTTTGTAATTGCAATGGTTTGGCCAGTGGAAAGAGAACTCAGTTGCATGGGTAGCCTGAAAAGTTCCTGAAGTGCCCTGTAAGTATCGTTTATGATGATGTCAAGACTGCCCTCCTGTCCAAAGAAACCTCAGAACAATATTAGTACACCTGTCTCTACATAACCCCTGATTTTTATCTGTTTTTTTTTCTTCAGAGGTTTGTCAGTGTATGTGGTGTAGCCCCCTTTCAGTAGGAGAATGTTCCTGTGAAACTGTGTTGGGAAAGTGCATTTTCTTATTTTCGTACAGCATCTATTCCATTACTATTTAATAGTAACGTGCCTTTCGTCTATCAAAACAATTTGTAGTAACATGCAGAGAATATTTGTGACTAATCTGTTAAAATGCTTGCAAATGAAGATTTTGTGTTTTGGGGACAATTCTTTTGTAAATAAATCATCTAGGTGTTTCCCTCCACTTCTCTAAATTTGTTCTTGCCTTGGTATTTTAATTTTGTGGAACTTCCTTGCAGGAAATTGAATTATATTTTTTTCTTGTAATGATTAAGGAGCTTTGCAACTCATTATTTTTAACATGCTCCAGTTTCGGATTTTGAAAATGAACTTGCAAAGGTCATGCTTGGATGCATTTTTTACTAGATTTTGCTACATTACCAGATTGTTATCTGGCTGAGACTGTTTGCTTTGTAGTCTGAGCTACTGCTGAAAAAAGAAGTGTCTGTCAGTACTATTAAATTGCAAGCTTGTGGTAATGCTGTGTGAAAAGGTGAGGAGAGGGAAATGCGCAGCTAAATAAATGAGTTATTTTTCCAAACTTTTTCAGGACATGTTCCAAACCCAGTATTTTCTCATGTTGAAGGCAAAAACTGAACCCAAAGCTGTTAAAAAACACTCTGCTTTAATTTGGAACTGCTGCTGTTCAAATACAAGTTCATCAGACATGCCCTTTTTTATGAACTATTTTTGAAAAAAAAAGGAATTTTTATTTGGTTGAAAGAAATCTTCATAGACAAACACTATGTTTAGTGTCACAAAATTTTTACAGCTAAGTGAACTTACACCAATGTGTAGTTTTGAACTGGTTTTGTGTTCTTGACACTTTCAAACAATCATCTTAATTGAATAGGTAAATTCCTATGAAGCTTTTTGAGGACTTGGAAGCCTTCCATAGGTTCAGGTCAAATCCTTGGCTCAGGGAATAGACCTGTTAACTTCTTGTGTGGAAGTTTCGGGGCAAAGAACTGTTGTGTACTCTGGGTAAAAAGTTTGATCTGCTTCTTGTCAGTATCGCCTCAAAGCCTTTGTATCATCATTTTGCTGCGTTAATGAGGGGCACAACAGCCTTTTTTTAGAGCTTTTTGGTGTATTTATTCTACTGAAGTAAAATTTGGATGGATATTTAGCTTTATTAATTGAACATTTTTTTTTTGTGTGGTTTTGTCTTCGAGAGGATTGACATTAGTACCTAGTCAAAAATTTTTAAATTTACAGCTTAGATAATTTTCAGGTTTATTTTATATTTGGTTACGTTTCTGCTTGAGTCATTGCTAATGTACTGCCATGGACATGACTGATTGGTACAGCATTTAGGATGGGAGTCCTTGTGCAAGGTAGAGTAATACTGTTCTGTTTCCAAACAGATCTTTTTTTCATTATGGATCTTTTGAATGCTCTATGTATGGAAAGTGTAAAGAAATGGAATAAAATAAATCACTGCTTTTCCTATTAAAAGTATACAAGATCTGAATTGAAAACCTTCCCCTTTAAAAGAGTGTAACAGCCTGTTGGCAAATCTTCAGCAGTGTATGTAGTATTTTAGATCAGTGAGTTTGGGTTTTTTTCTGGATAAACCTTAATAATGACTTTTTAATAACTGTTATATTTTCTCTAACAAATATTCAGGCAAATATTTATGTAAGGAGCTACTAAATGTAAGTTCTGCGCTGGCAGCAGTACTGAAGCAATAATTAAGTTCTTGCCTTGATGTGGCAAGTGTGTACTGGTAAATTTGGTGATGGTTCCATGGCGGATGCCCACACTCTGATGATGTGAGCGGAGCTTTGGCTCAGGCGAGCCGGCCGGGCTGATCCCGGCCAAACTGATCCTGGCCCAGCCATGCCCTCTGTGACAGCCATGCCAGGCTGCATCTTCTCAGGGACCAAGGCACCTGGGCCATGTCTGATCCAGAGATAACAGCAGCAGCCTGAGCTGGGACCAGACAGAGCTAAAGTTGCTGCAGCCGCGCACGTGCACAGACACCAAGGCAGGGTTTGACTGCAAGTCTGTCGATCTGTCCTGTCAGCTCCTGTGGCTCCCTGAGCCCCCTGAGCTCTGCTGCTGATCTCCCTGTGAGCAGGGACACCTCTCCAGATCACTCCTCAGGGCTGAGAGACCCTTCATCAGCCTCTGATCTCTTCAGCAAGGTAAGGAGCGTTTTGCTTTGAGCCTTAAAAGTATATTGTGTGCTAGTGACGTTTATATATATCCAACTATTCATTAATTATTGCAAGTGTGTTAAATAGTGGAGTGTTTGACAGCTGCCTGAATTACTAAATCATCATTACTAAACCATCGTTTAAATCTTTGTCAAATCATTCGTTGTTCAATGAGTGATATATTCAATGATCACTTAATCACCAGTTGATTACCATTTAATTTCTGTTCAATCATCTGTTACTTATCATTTGATTGTAATGTCATCATTGATAAAGTCATTTTTGTTAATGCCTCGACAATGACTTCTCTTAGTAAATCACCAGGGACAGCTAAGTCTCAATGCACGTGCTTAAATTTCTTGACTGTTGTAGAGTAGAAAGGGTCATTTTA